GATTTGACTATCTTATTTGGAAAATTGTAGAAACATAAGATTAAGTTGAAAATGCATGTTGGAAATGAAGAAGGCGACATGAAAAAGAAAAGTATTGCAATCAAAGTCGAAGAAGCCAAATACTCAGAAAATGATATATGAAGACATGAACATGTTAGTCCCAAGTTTAAAGCATTCACAAGGCACGAGAAACAACCTTAAAGTTTCCAACATATAAATGGAGATATGTCTTGGTTCGTGCCAATATGCTTTTAGTGCAGATTTTTTTCCACATAAATATAGATTGCCTTTAAAATTAGAAAAGAAAAAAACAAATGACTTAAAAAAGAAACAAAGACATTATATATAATATTAGATGATAATGATATGGACTCTTCCAACGAACTAGAAAAAGAGGAAGAAGAAACATTTGTCTCATAAAAAAACACAAAGACAATGAGGTTTTCTTTATTGTCTCAAATGTTAAATGGTATCTTGATATTGGTTGTTAAAAGCATGTTACTCAGATAGAGCTCTATTTTCGTCCTTTACTACTAAAAAGGGATTATTTGTTTCGTTTTGTGATAATAACAAAAGAAGGATCATAGGTTCTAGCACAATTGGTAAGTATCTCAATCCAACGATTGAGGATATTTTTTTGGTTGAAGGTTTAAAACATAATTAGTTAAGTATTTTTCAGTTATGTGACAAAGGTAAGAAAGTAACATTAATTCGTCTATAAGCAGTGTTGTAAAAACTGAAAAGAATCAAACTCTTTTTACTATGAAGTGGAAACACCTATACTATTACATTTAATAAATTACCTTCAAATAATTTTTTTCTTTTAAGTAAAGAACATGAATTGTGACTATAACATATAAGAATGACTCATATCTATATGAACCATTTGAGCAAATTGTCCCGTAAAAAAAATAGTAATAGTTGGTCAAACTTGTCTTTGAAAAGAATCAGTTATGTGATGTGCGTTAAAATGGCTAATAAGTAAAGAACTCCTTTAAATAAATAAAAATATATTATTTTACAAGGCCTTTAAAACTCTTGCATATGAATCTTTTTAACTCATTCAAAATCACGACTTTTAGTAAAATTACTATGTTATTGTAATATTAGATGATTATTCTCGCTGTACCTAAATATTTTTCTTATCTCATAAAAAGAAGTGTTCATTGTCTTTTGAAAATTAGTTAAAATTATTCAAAACTAAAAAGATTTAAACATTTCATCTATCCGAATTAATTTTGAAAGTGAACTATAAAATTTATATATATATATATATATATATATATATATATATATATATATATATATATATATATATATATATATATATATATATATATATATATATATATATATATATATATATATATATATATATATATATATATATATATATATATATTGAGAATCACATAAAATATAATTTCTCCGCACCATGAGTTACTCGTGAGATAGTGGAAAGGAAAATTAAAATACTTTTGAATTAAGGACAAGTTAACCTTACTTATGAATTAAGAAAAACCTCATGATTTAAAGAGGGCTTATTAAAGTGCTCTGAGTTCCAAGTAACTTACACTTTCTTTTATTCAATCAAACTTTCACTCCTAAAATAATTTTTAAAAAAGGAAAAAAGTTATTGGAAAAAAGGAGATTTAGTTTAATAAAAAAATCTTCAAGTAGGAATTTCATTAAACTATCAAAACAAGGGTTATGTTTATATTATAATTTAGTGAAGCGTTTTAATACATGCATTTGTATAAAAGTTAAGTTCATAAATAAAGAGAAAATCTGGTTACATTATTTTCACGTTAATTTATGTTTCTTAGGAGGTAAGGGAAAAATGCTTGAATTCCCTCATGGCTGGGTTTTGTATCAGGATATGGCCCATGGAAAGCATGCAACTTTCCAGCCACCGCAAAAGGTAAAACCATCTGGCGTTTCCAGGTCGCTATCACCGTGTTACCAACAGACGTTGGATTTGGAAGAGGCCTGGGGGATTCGGCTTCAGAAAGAACAAAAGCGATAGGGTTGTTTCTGGTGGTGTAAGTAGCGGATGCGGTTGAGAAAACCATTGAAAGAGAAGGTTAAAGGAATTCTGGGAGAGAAAACCTGAAGGAAAGGGAAGTCTGAGCAAAGTTGAAAAACAAAACCAAATGTGAGCAAGAGCTATTTACAGGAAAGTTGCATGCAGTTGAAAAGGTAATGGGTTATTCCGATTCTAGAGTGAGTGAGAGTGGGTTAAATGCCCATAACGTAGGAGGCGACTAGGCATGATTAGTTTTTTTTCAAAATCGTGGCGCAGAAAGGTGCCATTATTACGTCAGACTGTGGATGACGCGTGGCTGGCTCGACAGAAAGAAAATGATGGTGTTGTTGGGTCAGAACCAAGGTGTAGTTAAAACCTCACAGGAAACCAAACGCCATGTTTTTAGTCGAAATTGGGTTTTGGATGGGGCATCTTGTTGGCTGAAAGATTTCGATTGGGAAAAGTTGGCATAGAAGCTGACTTGTAGGTCGACAGGTTAGTAAAGGTGGTGAAGGAAACGAAGTATGTTGACGCCAATAGAAGATGGTTGTAAGTCGACTCAAGAAGATTTCGTCGAAAGTGTTGACTTGTGGCCAAGGAAACCGACACGACGTATGAGAACTTTTGAGCGGGAAGAAAATTTGAAAAGTTAAGAACGTGGAGAAGTTACAAAAGTGATGGAGGGACACGTGGCGCCACCAAGACTAACATAACAGTTATTTTTTTTCTATTTAAGACAATGTCCATTTTCATTTTAGGGGACGCATTTTGTAACATTGTAAGAGAAAAACACTTTGAGTACCAAACATTAAGAGAAAATAGTTCATTCCTACAAAATATATGATCACGTCCATATTTCCTTTTAAGCAATTTACATTACCAAACTATAAGATATTTTGATCTTTTACTCGTTTATGTTATTTGTCTTTTATTTGATATACACATTTTTATTTGAGTTTGTTTCCAATTTACTCAAAACAAAACCATTCCACCACCGTCGTATAGACTCAACCAAATAATTCTGACACTTGTTTAACCAGTCCCACAAATAAATTTACGCTAAAAAGTCAAAGGTTGTTCGCGCGAAACCTGCATGCGAACACCTCCATAGTTTCATTATCCGAATTCAACTCTTGAATATTGTTCCTATAATCATTTGTTTATTTAAGTAACTAACAAATCAAAGTGATTTATTGTTTGAAACTCATTCGGGTCCCACGACCAATAGAGAGACAATAATCTTTGTTTATGAAGTTTAATGAAACCGTCATTCATTTATGTCTTATTTGTTCTAAGTAGCGTTTTTTTCACTCTTTGAGTCCAAACCAACACAGATCACACCCTGTTCCCATTCTTCTTGCATTTTCTTATGCTTTTATTTACTATAAAGTTGTACTTGAATTCTATGCTTGTACCTACCCCAGTATTGTATAAGGAAACATTTCACTTTGTGGGTCCAATAAATTGCACAAAAGTTTAATAGTATGACTCAAATATATATATATATATATATATATATATATATATATATATATATATATATATATATACATATATATATATATATATATATATATATATATATATATATATATATATATATATATATATATATATATATATATATATATATATATATATATATATATTCACAAAATTTGCATATGCTCATGCAGATTTGGCGCAAGCATAAATAAAATGTTTATTTTATGAATGAGAAACACGAAATACGACTGGTTGAGTTCCATTGAATACTTTAAGCATGTTGTCTTAGATTTAATTTATAAATTCTATATATAAATTTTGTTATTAAAGACAACCATTAAACATTATTTACTTTATTTTTGTAAATTTATTTTTAATTATTGTATTTAATTTACCTAACTACTTCACTACTAACTATTCATAAGAGTATTGTAATAATGAAGTACATTTATGTTATTATTAAAATAATTCTAATTAATCATCATCTTAAAATAAATACAAAGTTAAAAAAAGAAACTCATTCTTAATTAAATGGATAACTAATTAAGTTTAGAGTCATACTAGCATTGTGCCACTCTTTTATGAATAAGTTATATTAAATTAAAAAAAATACATATATTAAAAAAAATTAATCGTATTTAATTTATGTAAGTCCAACAAAAAAACTTTTAGTACTACCTTAGAGCTATTATAAATAAGTGTACTAACACTCTATATTTAGTGAAAAATATTATTTTTTAACGTCAAAGAATTAATTTTGAATGATATATTTATATATTTGTAATGATTTGAACTCGCAACTTCCGACTTTTTTTAACCTTTAACTCAATTAATTTAAGTAGGTTTAACTACCTTCCACTTTATTTTGTAAAAAAATATCTAAATCATCTTATAATTTAAAATAAAAATTAATTCTACTACATATTATAAATTTAACCTATTTTTTTATCAGTTATTGAATAAGTTTAAAAGCTACCGATACATTTATGCCCCAAACATTAACTTATGAAGTATCCAATGTTTTTTTATTACCAAACAAAGTTACACTTACTTTTACATTTGTTATTTCATTTAAAATGAACTAAGTAGTCAAACTCTTGGAAATGATGGTAGTTCATAAGAGCTTTTAGAACAATTTAGTCTATTTTCAACGAATGTGTAGAGTAAGGCTAAGGAATTTTCTTACTGACACTTTCTAAAAGATTTTTTCTTGCATGCAATATAATCACCATTAACAATATATAAAAATAAAATACAATAATTATTTTACAAACTAAAATTATAAATTTCAGAAGACATATTTTATTTTAATTTGAATCCACAAAGGACATGAGATAATACAAAGATAAATGGAATATATCAAAGACAAACTTTCGACAACCAAACATTCTAATAAACTGTTTAGAGATGATAAACCACAGGTAAATTATTTTATTTTATTTTAATAAAAAGTACTTTTCTAGATTTTGCTTTCATTTCAATAAAATCTTCATTCATCATAGTCATTGACTTCATCATCGAGTTCGTATTCGTCTTCATCATCGTATTCGTAGTTGTATTCATCTTCATCTTCGTCATCATACTTAACATCATTCTCTGATGGTTGCGTTGAGATTGTAACAGGCTTCAACCCCTAACACAACAATTAAAAAACACATCATGCATGTCTCATAATTTTTCATCTTTGAGTTTTGATAGAATAATTAAACAATGTATAAGCATTTTGAGTTGAAGTAGAGTAATTCTGTTTTGAGTAACTGCTTAAATAATATAGTGCATGCTAGACCCTGTTGCATTTAGAAATTTTTTGAAAACTTTTAAAAATGGTAGTAGATCCATAATAAGGCTTAAAAGTACAACAATAAAATAAAATAATTGATTAAAAAATTAATATTTACCTTCAAGAATATTTTCAGAGCCTCCATTTTTGGGTGAGTGTTGATCACTTTAAGAGCTTCTTCCTACACAAATATATTTCAATTTAACTATATGTATAAAAATAAAGAGAAATTCAAGAAAAAAATAGAGAAAAATCTAAGAAAATAATTATAAAAAAATAATAATCTAACCCTGACTAGGTTTAATTCTTCTTGAAGTAAAGTTTTGGGTTCATTATCAATAGAAGTAGTTCTTTCAAGGTTGGAAGGAGGGGCAATTGGTTTCTCAGCTTCGACATTGTTCTTCTTCTCTACAACTTGGTTACTCATTTTCAATAGCAGAGAGAAAAACAATAACAAGCTTACACACAATAAAACACAACTACAAATGGACTTGTCTTTAGGTTACCATTGAAGACCTATTTATAGCAAAAAAATGAGTAAATAAATGATATTAAGACATAAATAATTTATTTTTACCATAATTTGAAGATAAAAAAATGGCATCTTTGACTAGAATCATGAAAAGGGGGTGAGGTGAATGCACACCTGTCGCTACTCGAAAAATGCAACGACGGGGAGGTGAAAAGAAAGGACAGAAGAGTCGCTACCAAACTTTATTTATCCCATGAGGGGAAAGGAAAATATCGAGAAAACCTTAAGAAAATAATGGATAAGATGGTCTCGCAACCAAGAACGGGTTCGGAAGCCGGTTATGCGAAGGGAAGGTATTAGCACCCCTCGTATCCATCGTACTCGATGGGAACCATTTGTTTGTCGACGTGTGATAATATTTGCTTAAAGATTATGCTATAAAAATGTTTTCCAAAGGGTAAAGAAAGAGGGTTTAGAAACAAAGAAAGGAGGGATAACGGGGAAGAAAAGAGAAAGAACAGACTCGGTAGGAATTCACGGTCATAGGCCTACGTATTTTCAACGCATGTGACAAAGTCAGAATCGACGTGGTTCGAGACTACGGATATAGGGGGAAGTGCTCGGCAAGGATTGTGGTCCTCGTGCCTACGTATCTTTACTTAAAAGAAGTAAAGAATCAGAGCAGCCGTAGTTTGGCCTACGGTTTGTTAATGTTTTTTGTGGATGATGTTATCGTACGTATTCTAGCAGTTTAGGTGTTTTGCTGCTCGCATGTGAGGAGACTTATGCGTTACCTATTTACGGTAGAATGGACATAACATATCCTTTTTGAAAAGATTAGTTTTCTCCATTCGAGGCAAGATGTCACATTTGATTGGTGAGACTGTTTTTAGGGGTGAGATATGTCCTCGGATAGTAACCCCTTGCGGGTGGTACCCAATTCTCTATCTCAAAGTTTTTGTTATGGAAATGGTGTGGCGAAGGTAGTGTCTTCGCATTGAAAGACGAGTATCAAAACCACACACACTACAATGAGTATCCTGACACTCGGAGAGAAAGAAGTCTACACTAAATCCTCTCTCTTTAATTCAATGCAAAGAGAGCTTCGTTCTCTTATTAAAGTGTTTTTGGTTTTGAATGGTAAGTGCTTTGGCGACTGTAAACCCTACGGTAAATGTCAGCACTTGGGATAAGAGAAGGCCTACGCCTAACCACTCCACGACCATCCAAGTTTTTGTTATGAAAATGATTTGAAAATGCACTCGGTACGGGACCGAGGTTTTAGGTGAGTAAGTTGCAGAGAGAAGTTTGAAAAGAAAGGTGGTGAATAAAGTCGCGTCTTCGTATTGAAAGACGAGTATCGAGACCACCCACACTACAGTGAATATCCTGATACTCGAAGAGGAAGAAGTCTACACTCAATCCTCTCTCTTTAGTTCAATACAAAGAGAAGTTGATTTTCTTATTGAAAGAAACTGGAAAATGCACTCGGTATGGGACCGAGGTTTTAGGAGAAAAGATTTGAAAATGCACTCGGTGCGGGACCGAGGTTTTAGAAGAGAAGGTATGGAGAATACGGTTGCGTCTTCATATTGAAAGACGACTATCAAGACCACACACACTACAGTGAGTATCCTAACACTCAGAGAGGAAGAAGTCTACACTCAATCCTCTCTCTTTAGTTCAACACAAAGAGAACTTCATTCTCTTATTAAAAGATGTATTTGGTTTTGAATGGTAAGTGATTTGCGACGGTAAACCCTACGGTAAATGTCAAGCACTCAGGATAGGAGAAGGCCTACGCCTAACTACTCCACGACCATTCAAGTTTTGTTTTAAAAATAAGTTTTGAAAAGTGAAATAGTTGACAAACGAGATGGAAAGAGTGTAACAATATGGTCAAGAGAATAGTTAAGAATCGAAATCATGGGATTAAGCAAAACGTAGCTACGTGACAAGTCATAACAGTTAGAGGTTCAAGAAGATTAATAAAAATTAAAAAAAAAACAAAGTGATAAAAAAAAGAAAGCACTAAGATTTACCTTTCAAAAATGAATATAAAAAAAAGGGAGGATTAATTTAAAAGTTGGTCAAGAAAATACTTTTTTTAGTATCTGAAAAACATTTAAACTATTAATCTAAATAAGATTATTAATTCAAACCAAAATTTTAAATTAAATAAAATAATAATTATTCAAGTATTAAAACTAGTCTAACTAAGAAAATGTCTAAAAATAAATTGTAAGAAAATGATCCAAACCAACACTCACGGAAATCATGAGTCCAAGATAAATTCCATCATGAAAAGAAAAGACCAAAATTATGGCCAACAGGGAAAACTATTTCTAAGACATATTAACTGATGCTAAAAATCAAAAATGTGTCGAAATACCCCAGGGAGTAGTACAGAATGGTGAAAAAAAACTATTACACATCAGTTGATTCATAAAACAAAATGGTAATGCAATTCTAAGAATAAATTAATACAAGGTATCGCGCGATACCGACGCCAAAATTAAAATCCAACAAGAATATTGCAATGGCAAATTACAAGCAATGACAATGGCTGAACAAGCATAAACCGAATTGTATAAGAAAGAATTGACCGCTCGCAATCAAATTGATAACCGTCGAGCTCGATTTCCATACCAAACGAAGCAATCAAAACAGCAAGTTACTCATTTTAAACAAGGTTGAATCCATATCAACACTTAGACATAAACTAGAGGTTTTAGATCCAATTATTTATAGAATTTAAGAACAGAATACATAATTAGCAATTAGCAAGTAGCAATTATGAAATCTGCAGCATCCAAATAGCAGTTAGCAACCAACCATGTTTCCAAACTCATAATACCATAACGGATACGGAATCAGATATGCGATTTAAACAACAAAATAAATCGATATCCGTGGGTTCAACATTGCAAAACCATAATCAACCTATAAACAGTACAAACAATTGAAAGTTTAAGAATACAAACGGAATGGTAAACCAGATTCATCAAAGCGAGTTCAAACCGACTTATTACCGAAACAAACACACAATCAATAAAAACTAACTCTGACATTAGTAAATACAACAGGGATATAATGAATGAGACATACATAGCTCAGAATTTTACCGCAAATGTGAATTTTCGAAATCCACAAGAATTGAGACAGCAATAATACCAACGGTATATACCCTTTTATGTACTTATCTTCTAAAGCTCAACATGAAGAGAAAAAAAACAAAACAACCAACACAATTTGCCCAACGCTTGCAATGTTGTTAACAACATCAAGACTCAAAAACAAATCACCTCAGAAGTGGACAATGCGAGCAAAATAAACAACCAACAAGCCATATAGACGAAATATGCAAATCCATAAAAGAGATTCTGATTTGAAGAAAATACCCACTGATTCGAGCTGAAACACGCAAAATTGTTGGAAATGTGGTTGTTCGCTGATACGGGAAGTCGATTCAATGTCGTTGTTGTCGGTTCGAGGCACTTTGCATCTTCTTCCAATGCCAACAGAAGCCCTATCTGAAGCCAAGTTGCAAATCATTAGAATATCTGAGTTATCTAGATGTGATTGCCCTTTGTCGAAGACGTGTGGAATCGAGAGTCACATGTTTGAAGCTCACAGAACAACAGGTTTGTGGGAGATGGCCGAAGTGATTTGAAGGAGGTGGCCGGAGTGATTTGAAGGAGATGGCGGAGGTAAAGGTGAGTGGGTCGGTGTTGTTAGGGTGGTAATGGGATCATGGTGGTGTGATAGCCTGGTGAGACCATGAGCTTTTCTCCATGTGCCGTTTTTCTTTTCCTCTCTCACTTTGAATATATATCGCCTCATCCTTGTTTTTGCTAACCTAATTTGACCTAAGTTCTCCAATTTGTTTGGGTATGGGCCTTTCACGCGGATCATTGGATGGGTTTTATGCTAAATGAGTTTTCTTTGTAAAAAAAGGAATGAACAATATTTGTTTTGATTATATTTAGATATGGATAGAATTGGAACAAAAAGGTTTGGAAATGGAATCAAATTGAAAATGAAATGGATTAAACCTGAGAAACCATAAACCGATCTTGGACTTTTGATCTCAAAACCATGAACCCATTCTCCAAACGAAACACACATGAATCAGTTCCCAAATCAATCCTGAATCCTGTTATCTGCATACTGTGGAACAAAAAATCCTTATTGTGGACCTTTTTGAATCATGTCTTTGAACACCAGGACTTGAAATAGCGTAAAAACTCTGGTTGAGGCTTCAATTATACACCACTTGAATCAATGTTCCCTGGCCTTAATTATTGAAACAAATCCTTGTCTAACTGCCATATTAAATCAAATCCCTTATACTTCGGTTCACACTACACATATACCTGCCCTGATAACTTTGCCTGATTTGATTCCATCTAGTAACACCTTGAGCAAGAATAACATATTCTTTTTTTTTTTGGATTTCTGAATGATGATTAGTGGACAAATGCGCAAAAGAATGAAAACTATACAGGGGTAGGACAAATTTGGGGTATGACAGATGCCCCTATCTGATCGACTTAAACCTAGTAAGACAAAATTCCGTGGTATTTATTCTTTCGAGGTAGAATATGATTAGATATAAAAGACCCTGAATTTGTCCGAAAAAGAAGAATGCTTGGAAATGGGATACTGGATACCTTGCAAAGGTCGCTAACACCAAAAGGATGTTAATAGAGAAAACTTGACACCAAAAGGATGACAAGCCTATCATCAAAAGGATGATAGTACACTCACAACGCTGCTCTGAAATCAAAAGAAAGTAAGGGGCCCACTGCCAAAAGGATAGTGGAAAACATGCTAGTCATGGCATCAAAAGGATGTCAGACCCATCATCAAAAGGATGATGGAGCAGAAACTAGATTAACCCTAACATCAAAAGGATGTAGGGAATCCATTACCAAAAGGATAATGGAAAGTAC